AATACAGATAAAATATGACATATCTGAAACCCTATTGCACAGAGGTGAACTACAGTCAGATTATTACTAAGTTTATTCTATAGATTGATTAAAATGAAGGAAAAAATGAAAATGATCAATACCCAAATATAAGAGTATATTTGGTACTGATGTGTATATAAATTCCGTGTCTGAAAAATGAGTAGATAGCTATAAGCCTATAATATTAGTTGAGTCATTTCTCCTCTTTCCTATAAATTTGCAAGGTTTTAAATTTCAGATATAAGTTATATACGTGTAAAAGTATTAATTTGCTAAACTATAAAAAACAAACTACTAAAGCCAAACTTCTGCAACATTGCTCAATAAATACTCCATCTAATTTTACTTGTACTAGTTTCCCTTTTAGTCTACCTCAGATTGATTAAAATGAAGGAAAAAATGAAAATGATCAATACCCAAATATAAGAGTATATTTGGTACTGATGTGTATATAAATTCCGTGTCTGAAAAATGAGTAGATAGCTATAAGCCTATAATATTAGTTGAGTCATTTTTTCTCTTTCCTATAAATTTGCAAGGTTTTAAATTTCAGATATAAGTTATATACGTGTAAAAGTATTAATTTGCTAAACTATAAAAAACAAACTACTAAAGCCAAACTTCTGCAACATTGCTCAATAAATACTCCATCTAATTTTACTTGTACTAGTTTCCCTTTTAGTCTACCTCAGAATCATGTTCACTTTCTTAATTTCAACATTACCAACTTTTTTATGTTTCCTAATTCACCCTTTCTCTCTCTCCAACTTTTAAAATGACCAACACACAATTGTTCCCTTAAGAGAATATTGGATTGTGAGGAACTGTATTTTTCATTAACATTCGTTCAAAAAGTAAAGTGGTCTTATGCTTTGGTACATAAGTACATTTATAAAAGAGTATAGGGTGAAAAAACTACACAGAAGATAACTTATAAGTTACAGATATTTTCTTGTAGACCGTAGTGCACGGTGCATTTTCCATCATTTGCAATGGAGCCAGAGATTCATTATTTTTTGGCTTGAAAATATGATGGAATAAAGCAAGATGGCTCACTAAACTGTCTGCGCTTCTTTGTTATGAAGCAGCGGTCAGTCCATGCAATTTTGGACGCGATTTTCACTATGGGTCATCTAGAAACAGTCTCTTTGTGCTTTAGTACAGGGGTAAGACTGCTTACATCCGACCCCCCTTACCCCACCGTAGGTGGGAGCCTTTGCGGCACTGGGGTAAATGAAAATGATGAAAATGTAGTGCACGGTGCACCATTAACTTTTCACGCATTTGACAGAAATACTTGACATTTTTTACAAGGATGTTACCATTCAACACCCAACAGTATATAAAGTATAAAACCACAAGGAAAATGCTATTTATCCATTCTTTGTGGACTAACATATACATGCATACCTGGCTGGGTATGACATGGTGAGTTCTGAATGGCCTAACCACAAGATCATTCCGCAATTCATATGTATCCCCTGAATGGGAATTGTAAATGATATTTGAGACTGTGATAAAGAACAATTTTGAAATGCATGTATGCAAATAGAAGGCTGTACCTATTTCCAAAGCAACCAAATCCAGACTAAGCTCAACTTGACTCATGGATCTGTGAATGTCAAGTAACTTTTCTACATCATCTTTTATGCAAGGAGGCACAAATACAGTTGGAGGTTTCAAGTTATACAAGCCACGAGTTGCCAAATACATTGGAAGTCCACCCTGAAATGATATACATAAATTATCAGCAAAAGGGTTCAGCTTACTGAAGCCGATAATGAATAACAGTAACTTTTCCTAATTCTGTGTTGGTCACTTGGTCATATATGTGACCAGTGACCACAAATGATAGTGTTAACACTGTGCCCTAACCATAAGCTCTACAACGATAAACAATCAAGCAATCATTGGTTTGGGGGCCTTGAAGACTAAAACTGTACCATTCCACCACAAGAATTTAGGAGAAACACAATCACTCAACAATAAATTCAGATGAATAAAAAATGGTTTACAATGTGATCAAGATGAGCGTGAGTGATGAACAAGAAATTCTGGGATACAGCCCTAGAAGGGCACCTCCCAATGTCGAAGACGCACTTCAGCTGAGGAACAATAACACAGGTCTCGTGGCCGCCAACGGACATTCCCTCAAACGTATACCCGCCAGCATCCATAGCATTCCGATTCACCTGATCCCGAGCTTTCCTGTACTCCTCTTCTTCTTCAATTGCCCTCTCAATCGGGAACAGAAATGCGCTGGCGGGAAAAGGGGTTGCTCTGACCGCCGCGGGGTGTAGGTTTCCGGGGTGTGAATGGAAAGATAGATTATGGGAGTGCTTAAGTTGGAGAGGGTCATCGACAAAACGCTGGAACTTTGGTAAAGGAGGAGCCTTTGAGGTTGCTATTGCAGCTACTGCTATTTGCATTTCTGGGGCACTCTTGCTATTTCGGGGCAGTCTTTCTGAAGCCTTTGAAGTATTTTTTCAGTGATTCTTATTGTACACAAGTCCATTCTTTTGTTTAAGGATGAGTTGGTATCAGTGTGTATACGAATGGTAATTTTTGCAGGGTAGGATTTTGCTCAAAAAGCACCAATTTTGCACGGAAAAATTAACTGGAATAATCTCTACTAATCTTACTATTAGTCGTGCGCTTCTAATCATTCTCGTATTACGTGTTATTTAGGTTTAATCCAAACTAAGTGGGTTGTCTACTAAAATTAGATTGTGACCGGTTAGAGCATCCACAATGAGAGGTTATTAGGGATCAAAAAACAAATTGATCCCACTTGATCCCCGGGGAAATCAATGAAGTGTTTGATCAAATGGGAAGGTTAAAAATGAGTTCTGAGAAAATTTTTGTGACTAACCAATCACAAAAAGCTATGTGGCTTCTCTTCCCATCAAGATAGCCACCAATCTCGTCAGATATCCTTCAACTCCTTAATTTCATTTATTATTCATTAAATTTAATTTATTGTAAAAACAATATACCAAAAAATAAGATTTATTTTCCTCTATAAATAGACACAAATGAAGCATATGTTTAGTCACTTCGAAATTTACCACTTATTTCCCTCTTGCATCTTATTTTATCTGTTTAAAGTATTTTTCCTCTAAAAATGGATCCAACTCATTCTCTACTTAGAGACAATGACGACAAAAAATAATTATAGTGGGTCAAATGTGAATTTTATATTCCTTTTCCAAATTATATAAATTAATAATGGCAGAATATACCAAAAATATGAAGAGAGAATGTACAAATTTTAAGTGACCTAGGTCACCATAGTGGGAGGAGTGTGATAGGTTAGAGGAGATTAAGTTGTTTTGTGGGAAATGATGTGGAAGAGAGAAGATGAGGTCAAAAGTATAACATTGTGATCAGCACATGTATATTTAATATTAATAAACTTATTTATCATTTATCATTGTTTATATCTAGTCATCTCGTTATCTCCTTCATGGGTGAAAAGAAACACAACTTTCGTCTATCTTTTTCTTCGCACTTGTTTGTGGACCAGGGGATGTCGCCAATTGAATGGGTTCAACATCTTGGTCATCGTCTCCGGCTAGGAGGGATGAAATCTAGATGTATTGTTTAGTTGAATGTCACTACAAGATGTGTCCAAAACCTAGGACAGTAAAATCTGGGCCAAACCGTGATCAAAGATTCTATAGATGTGTTATGCCCAGTAAGTTGGACGGATTCTTGAATTATCTATAAAATATTATTATGAATCCTCGTGATGACTTTTTGTTGTTTTAGAAGATCAGATTGCAAAATTGAAAAAGAAGAAAGAAAAAATGAGAGCTGGAATTGGGAAACTGCAGACATTAGTATGCAAGCATGCCAAATGAGAGAAATATGCATTTATAAGTCTACTTGTGTCTTGGAGTTTGTTTGCTATGGTGTTGTATGAAAAGTCCAAGTGATATTTTAGATGGTGTTGATGGTGTCTGTTGTTAGAGAGTATTACATGTTTCTGAAGGCCAGGCCTCACTGGCAAACCACTTTGAATTGTGACGTGAATTTTCAGATTGGGGATAAGATTTTTTAAAGGTTAGGCTTCATCAGCAAACCACTTTGTTCTGCCAGCCTTACAACACGATGTCCGCTAAATTCTATGGGACAATTTTATTGAAGCACGTATTGGGCCGACAGCTTATCGCATAGCGTTACCACCTACCAGTTGCATCTAGAGCTGTCAAACGGGTCAACCCGACCCAACCCAACCTGGCCCGTAACGGGTTATGCTTTATGTGGGTTGGGTCGGGCCAACTCGTTTAAGGACAAGGTTTATATTGACTCTGTATACTAGGTTTTCATACTTGTGATTCACCTCACAAAGTCACAAGTATACTTAAATAGACGAACTTTTTATCCTACGCTATCCCAACATAGGGTTACTGGTTCTCTTGGTATGGTTGTTGATAAAGTGAAATTGTAGTGTTGAGATTTAATTGGAGGTGCAAGAAACAATATGTTTCACAATTGTTTTATTGAAGAGCCTTATTTTGTGACATACCAAAAAAGGAAAACCTGAACTTTATTTTGGATTTCAGGGAGTATTATTTGGTATAATGATTTATTTTTGGTGGATGTGATTTGACTCGTACATGATTTTATCACAATACGAAACAATAGTTTTTATCTTCACCATTATCTGCCTGATTTTTTTCATTTTTTAATCATAGTATTATTGTATTGGAAATATGTATTGTGACTATTAGCGAAATGCATATTTTTAGTGTGCTGACTGCAGGTTAAAACATATGTGGTTCATTATTGATAGAATCTAATGTCTGTGTTGCGTGTTTTGTTTTTAATCTATAAGATATTCCAGTTGTTACCACCAAAGATACAAGTTGGTGTTTCCTCTGCTACTATGCCCCGAGAGGCCCTTGAAATCACCCAGAAGTTCATGAACAAGCCTGTCACGATTCTTGAGAAACAGGATGAGATCACACTTGAAGGTATCAAACAGTTCTATGTCAATGTCGACAAAGAGGACTGGAAGCTAGAAACACTTTGCGATCTTTATGACACTTTGGCCTTCACCCAGACCCAGAGTGTCATCTTTGTTAACACCGGGCGTAAGGTTGATTGGCTCACTGACAAAATGTGTGGCCTTGATTACACAATTTCTGCAACTCATGGAAACATGGACCAAAATACTAGGGACATCATCATGCGAGAATTCCTGTCTGATTCATCCAGAGTGCTCATCACCACTGATCTCTTGGCTCGTGGTATAGATGTCCAGCAAGTGTCCCTTGTGATCAACTTTGACCTCCCTACCCAGCCAGAGAACTACCTCCGTCGTATCGGGCGTAGTGGACGGTTTGGAAGGAAGGGTGTGGCTATTAACTTCGTCACACAGTACGATGAAAGGATGTTTGAAGAAATACAGAAGTTTTATAATGTTACAATTGAGGAGTTGCCAACTAATGTTGCTGATCTCCTGTGATGTGTGGTTTTGGTTCAAGGAGGTGAGTTGTTCTGAAGCTCTTAATTTAGTTGGGTTAGTTATGTGTCGGAGACTTAGTGTGGTTAAATTCAGCTCCCGCTTTTTTTTCCAGTATGAAACTGTAATTTCCCAAGATGGTCCAATTCTACTTTTTGAAACTTTTGTTGATTTTGTCCTCTTGCAAAGTTGCACTGTAAGTTTCCAAGTAAATTGCGAATTTCAATGTTTGAGTTTGTGTTTTTTTATTTGATTTGGTTTAGTAAACTTGTTTCTCCAGTTTTGAGTGCTTTTTAAAATTGGATTACTCCTTGTGATCCGATTGAGATCATTTTGGTACTTTACAAGCAGTTATGTTGCATGTAAATTAATTACTTCGAGCCGTTAAGAGAGAATACTCTAACTATGAGTAAAATATATTAAAAGTGCAAAAGTAGAACTATAAAGTTTCGTAGGAGTAATAAAACCTGGGATGAATAAACTACCCTTAACGAATAATTGATTTCCTTATTAATAATTAATGTTATTATAAAACAAAATAATAATACGTAATACAACTTTTACAGAGGTGTCACGACATGTCACACGAAAATAACTGCCAAAAAAGCTGACATCATTGGCGATGACGCCGTCGGTCACCACCACAATCGAGATTGTCATCGATGCGGCATTTGTAACCGTTGTTGCTGGCCACTGCATTTGAATCGTCTGTCGCAGGCCGCCTCATCGGGCATTATTCAAGCGTGGTTGCCGCGACCGCCTCAATTGGCTTCGCCGCCTACTGCTCCGGAGAGATTCCGGAGAGATTGATGTAGATCTTTATCCTGCACATACAACTATAGTGGAATGTCATCTTACCAATTCAATGCCATTTTAATGGCATGCTTGCAAAAATAAAAAGTTGAGTTAAGTTGCATCTTAACATTATTTTTCAAAATCTCATCTTTTTCTGAATGAAAACATGACATTATAACTTATATAATGGCCTTAATTGTCAAAATGGCACCACCATTGTAATGGCATGAATTAAGGTTGGGCATATTGATTTTCGGTTCGGTTTGGAACGGGTTGGAAGAATTACTACCAAACAAAAACCATACTATTTTTCGGTTTGGTTTGGTTCGGTTCAGTTTGGATTTGTTAATTTTTAATAATATATGAAGGTTTTCTTGAATTTCTTTAGTGCGGTTAGGTTTTGTTCGATGTTTATCGATTTCGATTCGGTTTGGTTTAATACGGTTTGGAATAAATAGTACCAAATGACCGGGCTAAACTTGCAAGTGTACAAGTGCCGATATAGTAATAAATTCCGGTAAAATACCGGGTCGAATCCACAGGGAAACGTTGTTTAATTTAGTCCGAGAGTAGTTGACTTTAAATAAATGAGTAAAGTGCAGGGATTTTGATTTGTGTGTTGTTCTGAAAACAACAACTTGGTTCTTCTTTTTTAATTTTCAGGGATATTACTTTAATTAATTTGAGTTTAAGATGAATGATAATAACGGCCAAGGCTTCGGGAATCACTTAAATGCTTTAATAGGGTTGAATATTAGTTCTTTACCAATAATTATGAATACGATGTCGCTAATATATTCTCAACTCCGGTTAAGGCAGCGAGAGCGTGGTTTTCGTTACGTGTAAGTCCCGTTACGCCTTACATTCATCTACCGAAAACCCCGTTGAATATCAAGACATCACACCCGTATCATATAATACCGGATATATCTCTATTCTCGGTAATATATATGTTTATCCTTTAATGTTCATAGTTTAGACCTCAACGTTAATTGCAAGCATAAACTAAGTTTAACATACTTCTATGTTGTACACCATAGTCATAAACAATCAAAATGTAAAGGATAAATCACAATTTATTGGTTTAGAACTTTTATCAAACACCTAGTGGGCATAGAAGTTCATCCCTAGCCTTAGCTAAGAACTTAGCCTCTAATGCTCATATTAATTACAAAAGTGTAACTAAGATAAAGGAAATACAATAACATACAAGAAATAATACCTAGAACCAATTGTAGAGGAGAGAAATGGCTTCTTCTCCAACACTTCAAGAGAATGCAAAAATAAAATATAAAAACTGAAATTTAAGCTTCAAGGATGGATTGATTGTCTTGTTTGATGAATTGGGGGCTTTATATAGGCTAAAGATTGGCATCTTTTAGTCTATTCGAGCCCAACAATCAGGCATGGAAGATATATTTGATCAGGTCATGAGGAAGGTGAGTTTTTCCCATCAAGATATGGCTGCACGTCTCTTTGTATTCTGCAGATTCGGGCTTAACCGACGCCAATTTTAGGCTTGACCGGCGCCGGTTTTACTTCGGGGATGGAATAATAGTGAAAAACACCATAACCGGCGCCGGTTATAGGGTAAAACCGGCGCCGGTTATACGTCGGTCAGCCGGGAAAATGGCAGATTAAATGCAACCGGCGCTGGTTTGGTGAAATTCCGGCGCCGGTTTTGTCCTGGGATTTTGGGGATGTTCCGCTACGAATTTGGACATGAGTCCTTCACCAAAGTTGTAGATAATGAAGTCTTCTATGCACCAAAACTTGAATGACGTGATTTTATTCATCCAATCAAACGTTATGGCTAAAACACTGAGAGGTATGCATCCTGAAATCCCACCAGCAACATCTGACTTTGTTGGTTGATTGAGTCTTGTTCCTTTCATATTTTGGCCATGACATCTTCATAACATTTGTACCTTATTGAGTTAGCATTCACATGAAACTCGAATCGAGTGATTTCGAGTTCTATAGAATACGTTATACTCAAATTATGGGCAGAACGTCATTCTCTTGGTCTAAAAAGTCGTTCATCGCAATGTTTTATGCTCTAGCTCTCATTTTGGAGGTATTTGCCCGATTTCTCTTCCTTTCTTCAACAAATACTTATAAATACTTATGTTAAACACAAGTAAATATAACGGCTATCACCAAACTCAAACCAAATTGCATACGGTCCGGTTTCGGTTCGATTTAGTTCGGTTTGGTATGGTTTGGTCCGGTTCAGTTAAAGCAAACTATAATGCCCACCCCTAGCACGAATTGCCAAAATATGATTTTTCAGAATGAAAACATGTCATTATTGGACCAATATTACTTGAATTGTCATCTTGAGATGACATTAGTTTTGTCATAAACATTTTTAGATTGAAAAAGATAAGAAATATTTGAATTTTTTTTAAAAGAATCTGAAAAATAAAATAAAAAAATAAGATCCAAAATTTTTAGATCTAAAATAGCATTTTTAATTCTGAATCTCAAAATGAAACAAATGAAACAATAAAAGGTAACACAAAATCCAGAGAAAAAAATAGAAGAGCGGAGGTGGGGGAGAATAAGATGGAGGAGGAGGATACTTACATAAAAAGGTTGTCGCAATGCTGGAGGCTAGAGTTGCAACACATGACTGGAATTACGATGCAAAAGACAAATCGGCCACCATCGGAAGATATAAAGGAAGGAGAGTTGGACAACCGGAGATTGGAGAGCATTTTCACCGCATTTGAAATTCATGGAGAAGAATTTGTAGATATGCAAAGAATTGTAAATATATCTTGAATGTATTCATTGCATAATTATTGTTGCACAGAATGATCGTTGTAAACATTGAAACATGGTATGACTGGAAAGTGGTGGTAGAAAGGAGAGTTGGCCTTGTTCAGCAATCAGTGGCTTTAATCGGCTAAATAAGTTAACTTGTTATGAATACTTGTAAATGTTTAGTAAAATTAGTTGTTCAGAAATAAATGTTTCAATCTAAAAAGACATATAACCACTTCTACGGCTATGTTTGCATTTGCTTCAGCTTTTTAAAAGTGATTTATTTAAGAGATTATTGGAAAAGTGGTTTGTAGTAAAAGTAGGTAGTGTTTGTAAATTGGAGTGATTTTAATTAAATGGTAAAAGTTGAATTGTTTGATTAGAATGTGATTTTTGATGGAATAATTTGTTAAAGTACAAGATTGCCCTTGGATAAATAAAAATTGGTGGCACACATGTTAAAGTACGATCGGCGCCCACTATCCGGCCATGGGCAACATCTCTGGAGTCTCCCCAAGTTAAGTCGCTGACCTGATGTCCAGATTCACCGTACGGAAATCTCCTATCTGCAACTCATTCTCTCATCCGTCCAGGAAGAGGACCGACATATAATGATTTATATACATATATTTATATATTTATATATGTTTATATTTATATGCACATATCAATTGAAATTTGGGGTGCTTCTGGTGAGGGGAACGGTTGTTTTGCGGAACGAGGAAGGCAGGGAGAGAAGAGAGACTGGCAGGGGTGAGGGGAGGGTACTTTTGGGTTTAATGGAAATATTCATCCTAATAACTCTCCCTAAAGTTTGAATTATTCACAAAAATACCAAGAAGCTATTAAAAGCATGTCTAGATCAGCTTCAGCTTTTGACATAAAAGCTGAATTTAAAGCTAAGAAGTGCTTTTTGGAAGCAATAGAAAACACTGCCTACATATATTTAAAAATTTTAATATTGTTAAAAGTAACTACAATGAACTACAAAAACTAAATATTATGTTCAAAATTGTCTTAATAGGTTAAAACTAGACCTATAAATCGTAGATGCACATCCTTTGAAACCGACATTAAATAAACTATTTTCCTTTAAAAAAAATTGTCTACACGAGATAGAATAGACCATTCTGACACCTGACGTGACCCGACCCGACCCATTTATATCCATTTTGCAGTGCCCCTCCTTAACAAAAGCCCTGGATCCGCCGGTAAAATACACTGTACAGCCGGTTGTACCGTGCGCACGGCATAGCCGGCCCTTTTTTTGCTCTGCGCTTCTTCTTCGATCGATCTCGCTCTGGCCTTCTTCCTCGACTTCGCACCCATCTTCGCACCAGCTTCAGATCTCGTCTGGTTCTTCGATCTGGCTTTGCACCTGGTTGATTATACGCTCACCACTCGTCTCTTTCTCTTCAAGGTCGTTGCTCGTCGTTGCCTCTCACCGCTTATCTCCTT